ACCTTTATGTTAATATTAGTTATGAACAGAGTTTATATAGATTTGAAGAAAAAAAAACAGGGGGTTTTGATTTTGATTCAATGCATGGTAGATATCTAAAATTGCTTTGTTTTGACTGTCACATCTCAGGAATATCCGTATTTTAAATTCTTGGGGTGTCTCTATCTCTCTCTTCCTTCTTCATTCTCATTTCAATGGTGATTTGCTTCTTTGTTTTCTCTCCTGCAACCTCAATATCAGGCCGGGAAAAAAAACAATACATAGGGCCTCTAACCCGAGGCTTCTTAGGCACCGAACTCCAAGCAGCAATTATAACTCCCTTTCCCTTCCCCCTAGTAATTGATTGCTCTACCTCTTGAAATCCCTCCCCGTCCCCATCACTGTCATCATCATCATGACTGACCCAAACCCCAAACCTAATCTCTGCTATGGAGGCATGTCTCTCATCTTTTTTTAATTTTACAAGACTCAAAATATTGTTTATTTCCTTTTTAACAACATCAGGAGTTTTTTTTACATAAGACAACATCCTCCCTGATATCGACAAGAAGTTTATTGAATCGGTTTATGCTCCTTTTTTTATCTTTTTCACAAAACTTGCATCTTATGCAATTTTTATCCGAAGGATTGGGTTGTAGTCATATTTCCAAACAGGATCTCCACTTCTATTAGATCGCAAAGAAGACATCTCAAAATAATACAACATATACAAATAATAAAAAATCTTACTTTGATTGCTTAATCTTCAAACTTCCACCTCTAAGATGTTTCTAAGGACTCAAAATCTTCTAAAAAACCCTCAAATAGATTTATAAAACATCCAAAATTAAATATAATATCAATGGGTGATGTTTTGATCAATTTCTCATAACTGTGAGAAACCCTTTGATCCTAAAGAAATCACAAAGAACTAGTTTTTTTAGGTTTTTCTCTCTCTAAAATGGGCTCTAATGGGTTTTAGGTTTCAAAAGAACCTAAAGCCCACAATTTTGGCCCCTTAGTTTAAAAAAAAATGATACAAAACACCCCTACCAAGTGGCTTTTTTGCCTCTGGGCGGGGCGCAGGCCCTGGGTGCCCGTCTAGGTGGGTTCCCTAGGTGCCTAGGGTGGTGTCGAAGGATTTTTGCCTTTTTGTGGCGCCTAGGCCTGGGCGATACACCCATACCTTCTAGACCGCCTAGGCAGCTGCCCAAGCATTGGGCGGTCTGCTTTTTGAAGCACTGCTTAGAGGGATCTAAGCTTCACTATACATAAAATGAGATCAATTAGTATATGATAAAGTTACAATTGAGCCAATGCTTGCTCGATCCATTATCACACACCTCAGCTTATTACCAATGCCATAATTATGATACTCCAATGTTCTACAATAATACAGTTTGATAATACCATAAATTGGCTTACTACGGTATGAAATTGTAGTTTTTTAATACCATAAATCTAGTATACCACGATGTGATATGTACCATAGTTTAACATATTCTTAAGAAATATGTCTATAATAACAAGAATAAAAGTAGTAGTTCAATTAATAGTATAACTCCTCTCCTTGGGGGAATCCTACAAGTATGTAGACTGAGATCCCATTTTATAGGGAGTGATCCCTATTTCTCTAAATCTAGCTCCCTTTAAGGGAGATCCCATTTTATAGGGAGTGATCCCTATTTCTCTAAATCTAGCTCCCTCTAAGATCCCTTAGAGGGTCTCCAGGATCGAGTTCCCAAGTTGGGACCATGGCCTTACCCCCAAAGTTTCCTGCAACTATGGTCAGACACATACCAAAAGGAAAGGAAAAGAGCATTTCCTCTGACAAATTAATTCCATACTGTAAAATCTCCAAGATTGGGGGAACAATTGTTCATCTCCACAACTTGCTTCACATTTCAGTCCCTGATTTTAACTTTAACAAGGCTTAATTTCCAAAAACGACGTAACCCCACAAATTACCCTTGTTATAGCCAAAGATAAGGCCACCATCTAATGATCACGCAAGTCTTGAGGAGGATGAGTCTCAAGAAAACCCCACGAAAAGATGAGAGAATCATAAGGGAGATACTGTAAAACAAACCCTACTTCAAGATTTCGCTAGAAGTCTCTCAATCTCCCGAGAAATAGAAAAGGAGAAGAGCAAGAAGAAAAATGTGGTCTTTCGGATTAAATATTGAATTTTATGGCATTGCTCAGTAGGTGTATCCAGATTACACGTTAGAAGATCCATCTTCTGAGTGCTGACTATATCACCTATAGTACAAAGTTAAAAGACACACACCACTGTATGAAGACTCACTGAGTTAACTCGGCCACAGCACCCTGTCGAGGTACATGGTCGGTGTGCAGGCGCCTGTACAGTATTCAGACGAGTCCGTATAGTACTTGCCAGAGTACTGATACTGAAACAAAAAAGTTGAAAGGGGACCAAAACTCTGCTGGCCCTTTTTTTACCATGCACAAGAAAAAACTAACAATGGGTTAAAACGGTGGAAACTCCTATAATGGCTTTTAAACAAGTTCTACGTGGCTAAAATAAGACCAAATATGTACCAACTTATTTTCCCAATTGGATTGAAGAGCTTTGATTCCCAATTTGTTGATCAGAGATGCAAAACTTTAAGAACAAAATAAAATAAAATAAGAAATAACTAAATTAACACAGATTTGAACCTAAAGTCCCAATAATTGGCTTGAAGTCAAGGCATCTTCCCAGTAATATTTCAAATTTCAACCGTTTTTAGTGGACTTAAATACTCCGCATCAAGCAAATCTTTTCATTTGCCAGCTGAATTTTTTATCAAAAAAGCAGCATTAACCAAGTACAAGCAGAGAGAGAGAGAAAGCCAAAATTCTAGTCCATAATCCCAATTTTCAAGTTCTCAACCCCTGAAATTTAAGGTCTAGAAACTCGTTACAAAAATAAAGAAACAAGAATGGTGACAAAAAAGAAAAGTCCAGATAAAAAATGAATGGTAATTCTCACGAAATAAATAAAGATACTCTTACATAGAAGACCTTCACACCAGCTGACACAAAGGTTTGAACTAAGGCGGATTTTACAGGGATTGAAAGCGAAGATTCACGAAGTAGGGCAAATGTGGGATGACCTGACGCAATGCTGGCTTTAACCAGATGCTGCCCTAATCTACCAGTTGCTCCGACTACAAGAATCCGGCTGTTGTCCATCGGAATGCCCGAAATTTTACAGCCCGGGAAGAGAACCCTAAAATTTCTCTGCAACTCCGAGAGTGATAAAAGTCTTTTCAATGGAGTAATTAAAAGTGGATTTTTGCCACCATTTAAGAACCCAATCCATCTATGAGCAGCATAGAAAACCTAAATTTTCTGGGAAGGGAAATTTAACATAATATTCCCTTGGTCTGCACGTGAATGACATGTGCTTGTTTCTTTATAAGTAAATTATAAACCTGTGGAGCTACTTGGTTCTGTTCACTTACTTGGAGTTGACCTACAAACTTTCTTGACGGATGTTGTACACGAATAAACGATGGAATAGCCTAATTTTATGTGTATCTGATGTTTTTAAGGGAAACAATAAGAGAGCAAAACCTCAAGTTTCATAAACGTCATACACATTTTTTTTCTTTTTCTTTTTTTTTCAATTTTTGCTTTTTTTTTTTTATCAAAATAGCTTTTATGATAGTCTAAGTATTACTATACTTTAAATACCGTAATAAACTGACAAAGAATTATGATACTCTAAATACCGTAGTGATCAGGCTAAACATTACGATACTTTAAAAACCATAATATTCATATGTGGCAAATGGGGGAGAAGAAACCCAATGAACATTAAAATCTTTAAAGTACCATAATGCTTAGTCTAATCATTACGGTAATTAAAGTATCATAATGCAGTAGTCATTATGATAATACGACCATTGTGAAGGTTATTCTGGTAAAAAAAAATACTAAAATTGAAGAAAAATTGCATAGACAAAATTGATGAAAGCTGAGAGTTTTCTTTTCAAAATACACAAAAATTAAAGTATTTATGACGATTTCCCTATTTTTAAAAAAGAATATCAATGCACTAATTGAGACAAAGTATGATAAGGGGAATGACATATTTACTAGAGACTCCATGCACCCACCAAAAGAACGACGAGTACTGGGCCTGTCGAGTATTAATTTAATCAAAATGTTAACCTAATCAAAATACCACTGAGATAAAAATGTTAACCTAATCAAAATTATTATCCTTCAAAAACCTTGCATATACATAACTCTTAAGATTTATAGAATAAAATGTAACCAAATCAACACTTAGTTGTTCAGCATTACAAATAAGAAACACATTGTTTTGTATTAGTAAAGCGAAACAGCTAAGGATATTTCTCTCATTTTATAGATGCAAAGCATTTAAGTGTAAAATTACAAAATTATCCCTTGTTCTACGTTACAAATACCAATTTTATAGATGCAAAGCATATAAGTAAAAAAATACAAAAATATCCCTTGTTCTACAGATACCGAATAAAGTATTCTATATTTGTAATGCAGAACGATAAGGGATAATTTTATCATTTGGGTCCTACCTCTTTGTGGTAAAATTATTGAAATGCCCATCATTGTTTCTCATTCTAAGTGCTGAATAAGGTTAGTTGGAGTATTTTTAAAAGAAATTTTAAGGATATATTTGAGTGAAATAGAAAAAAAAAACGAAGATATACCCTCAAATTCTAATAGGAATAAATTTGACCCCTTTAATATTTTAAGAGGTTTCATCCCCTTTCATGATACTTACTAAACTCTCATGATGCATCCTAACCAAACCAGAAAATATGAACTGCACAGGGAAAAGAAAGAACTACTTGACCACAAAAAAGAATCCAATATTCATTAGACATGTACGAGTGGCTAGCCAACTTGCCAAGTAGCCTTGGGAACATCCAGATCTACAAATTTAACACACAAGCAAGCTCGTACGGCCTCGCACTAAAGCCCTATTCCTACATATCATATCTATAAAAGATAAAAAGCAAAAAAGGGCAACTGAAAGTACAATATATATGTTGATATAAAAAGAGTTACACTATGTATACAAGTAATGTTTAATATTCAAATAGATTGGGGTGAGGCATTGAGATTTAGAGAGGAAAGCCACTCCGCTATGGCTTCATTAACGAGCTCTGGAACTTCATCATGTGGGCAATGCCCTGCCTGTAAGTGTACAAGGGATGAGTTTGGATAGAACTCGTTTATTCTTTTGGCCTTCGCAGGTCCCACCCAAGGGTCCAAATCACCCCAAAGTATTAGTAAGGGGCATGAAAGTTTGCTCAAGATACAATCGAGTGTAAACTTGGTTTGGTTCAACAAAAATCGTGTCATTAACCTGCAATTGAGATCAATAATTCTTAATAACACGAAAAATTAAGTTCCACCAGTAAAAGTAATTGCAATAATTTCTTCAATTGTAGAAAATAACAGGGTGATTTCCTGCCAACAATAGCAAAATAACAAATTGAAATACAGATAAAATTGCAAGAGAAACAAAGTGCTGGATAGATATAATAAGTACATATATGCAATCACGATAGAAGTTACTTGAAGGGTTTAAAGCAGTTAAAAAGCTTCAACATATCGAGAGTCACTGCCAACTCACATTGAGCAGATTTTTCACTAGATGAGAGGAGGGGGGTCATGGATACTTTGTATATTTACCACTATAACACATTATCAAAGAAAATTAATCAAAAAGTCACATAATGACTATTAAATGAATAGAGTAAAACTGGTAGAAATCTGAATACCTGTAATAAACTTCCCCTGCATTGGGATCTGCTGCTGGTAGTGTAATTGATTCGATAAGATAGTCATCCACATTGGTTGCATTTGAATAAACCTGCTTTCATCAGAAAAAGATTTAATGGAGTAATCTCCCAAAGGGAACAATGAGATGTGCATGCTTTCGTCAATCTCGCTCTTGCCACGTGAACCCAAAATATGGGTGGCAATAGTATCCGCCTATTCCCACCAAAGTTTGGGTACCCAAGGCAAAAACATGGATCTGAATAGCAACTCCATGCATGCACAAAGTAAAGTATGGTTTCATGTTCCATATTGTACCTCTGGTCGGATATGCGAGCGAGCGAGCGAGAGAGAGAGAGAGAGAGAGAGAGAGAGAGAGAGAGAGAGAGAGAGAGAGAGAGAGAGAGAGAGAGAGAGTAGTAGTAAGTAACGTAAGTAACGTAACGTAACGTAACGTAACGTACGTAACGTAACGTAACGTAACGTAACGTAACGTAACGTAACGTAACGTAACG